ACCCCCCCCCCCCCGTGCCTTCCTCCCTCTTTACTCATAGTTATTCTCTCCCGTAGCATGTATCAGTATTAACTTGTAATCATTAATTTTTATGTTGACCCTTGGATAAAGGGCTGCAGGGCTGGTCTTAAGGATACATTGTGAAGTGTGTGAAGCCAGATTTGTGGGCTCCTAGCCCATTCTTTGGCTCCTGGTTCCCTCACTAGAGCCTCCTTGAGAAGCCGCCGCCCCAGGCCTGTCCACCTGGAGCTAGAGCCAGGTGCTCCTAAGCTGTGGGCCCTGGACTCTGTGGAGTTCTAGGAAGGGGTCTGTAGCACGGGCCACACGTGTATGTACACCTTTCTATGTACAACGCACCTCATACTACGTGTTTTCAAATGGAAGGAGATCCTGTTCACTGAAATAAAAATTCAGTTCACAGTGCCACCGGTTCATTAACTGAGTTAGTAAATCCTAATCATTATGTGTTTAACCAATGAATATAATACAAAATTAAAATATATAGCTATTATGGAAGTGGCAGGAAGGTTTTTGACTTTAAAAACTATTTTTCATATTGGAAAAAACCGAGGTCTTTTTTCGCCTCCTGTAAAAACCTCACTTGTGTCTTGCATGGCGCTCCTACGCGTGCCCTATTCCCCAGCTGAGAGCAGTATCTCACAGCTGATGCCTGCAGGGGGCTTGATGGCAGGTCCCAGCCCAAGGCGTGCTCCTGTCTGGGGGGAATGTCTACATTCAAGACCCACTTTAAGAGACCCGTAAGGCCCACTTTATACCGGTGATCCTGGAGGACTTGTACCCACCATGGCCAGCCTTTGAAGGCAAGGTTTTGGGGACCAGGAGATCTTTGTGGTAATGCCTGCTGAGACACCACGGTTGGGGGGACTCTGGAGTCAGACACACCTGGTGGAGGAGACGTTACCTCCCCTCTGACTCTGTATTTCCAAACCTCAGCTCCTTTCCTGGAAAAGGTGACTCCCTGCTGTTCTGTAGCTCTTGAAGAGGGAGATTCAGATGGTAAAGAAGTCTCCCCAAGGCTACCTGTAGCCTGTGAAGGCCGCGTCCTCCCACCCTCCTGTCTGTTTTCTCCGTGGCCCTGCCGTCTGTCAGGCTGCCTCCGGGTAGGGCTAGCCGCCCAGAGGTGCCTCAGGGCTCACCTTGGTGCTAAGACCTGGGGCCAGAGAATGGGACCTCGGATGGCATGGCGGATGGGGATGGCGGGTGAAAAAGGAAGCCGAAGCCCTTGCAGGCCAGAGATAGCAAAGATGTGCAGATGGCAGCGTGGTGAATACGCCTGAGTGCCATCTGCCATCCTTCCAGCCGACCCTCCTGCCAGAGCCCCTGGTGCTGGGTGGGCGGTCAGCCCGCATCTGCCCGCAGTTGCTCCCTCCCGGGAGGCAGGGCCGAGTGATGGCGAGCGACTCCAGCCAACGACATTCCAAGAAGCCTCTTGGGCTCAACCACGCAATCCAGCCGGTGCTTGCAATCGAAATTTGGAATGTGTAAATTGCAGCGGAGTCCAGAAATTTCTGTTGCTGGTTAAGCTTGCCTGTTAATTATAAACGGCGTAGCAGCTGCGGAATAGTGCCTCATTGAATGGAAAGATTCTGTGGGAGGGAGCCTCCCTCTCTTTAATTTTCTCATTGGTAGGTGTGTTCTAAATCTGGGTGCCAGTTGGGTTTAGTTTTAATGAGTGGGAAGAAGAGAGTGAGCTTGTTTTCTATATGTGTTTATTGAGAGCTGTGACCTGGGGAGCTGCTAGGCACGGAGGGGACGTTAGTGACAGAGGGACCCTGTTTCAGGCAGCCTGTAATGGCTGGGCCCACTGGAATGCCATACCCGAGTAACCCCTGTGGTCTTGCGGGAGGGAGCTTGAGAAAAGGCCACCTCCCCAGAGAGCATGCTTCCGGGGGCAGTGGGCAGGTCTGCCATTGCAAGACAACATCATTGCCCAGACCAAAGGATTTAGCAGTAGGAAGGATTAAAAAGAGTGAGGTGGGGGGGAAGGAAAGGTGGGAGAAGGTGGTCATGTAGGGGATGCGCAAGGACAGAGCTCTTCGCTTTGAACGTGTGCCTTGAGTCTGTCCTGCCGACGGTGAAGTGTCCCTTTCTACACTCAGTCTGTAGCTGGCAAAGTTGCACGGTACCTGAGTTCATTTTTGGGGGAATTCTGTATGTGCCACAGAGCGGTGGTATAAAGCCCTCCGCGACGATCTTAAAGGATTTCTGTTTTTCCTCCGTGAGCACGTCTAATAGTTTCCTATTGCGTTTGCTGCTTCTGAGGCTACTGTTCTTTCTTTGTACGCGGATTTCTCTCCTTCTTAGCACTGCCCTTGTGTGACCAACGTCGCGTATGTCTCTGTGTGGCTTGGGAGCGTGTTTCACCTCAGGCACTGAAACTCCCGGTTACGCAGGCCCAGATGTTCCCCAGTGTGCCAGCAGCCACCGGTTCTAGCTTAGGTGTGTCCGTGACTCATTCATTTGTGCTTTGGCCAGAGGTGGAGAGGTCTGTGACCCATAGAAGCATTTTTTAATTTAATTTAATTTATTATTTTTGGCTGCATTGGGTCTTTGTTGCTGCGCGCGGGCGTTCTCTAGTGGCGAGTGGGCGCTACTCTTCGTTGCAGTGCATGGACTTCTCATCGTGGTGGCTTTTCTTGTTGCAGAGCACGGGCTCTAGGTGTGCGGGCTTCAGTAGTTGTGGCATGTGGGCTCAGTAGTTGTGGCTTGCGGGCTGTAGGGCGCAGGCTCGGTAGTTGTGGTGCACGGGCTTAGTTGCTCCGCGGCATGTGGGATCTTCCTGGACCAGGGCTCGAACCCGTGTCCCCTGCATTGGCAGGCGGTTTCTTAGCCACTGCATCACCAGGGAAGCCCCCTAGAAGCATTTTTTATCGGCAGAATGTCAAAACACCGTCTAAACTCAATGTCCAGCTTTTTAAATAGGCGTTGGGTTATTACTGTCATGCATGCTCCTCTCCCATTTTTCTCCTTCATTCTCTCCCTCACATTGTGATATCAACCTTATCTCCTCTCCAAAATCATGGATAGTTTCAGTGCTTAGGACAATGTAGGAGGATTAACTAATTTCTTCATTTTTTTTTTTTTTTTTTTTTTCATTCACATTAAAGCATTTTGCGGTACGCGGGCCTCTCACTGTTGCGGCCTCTCCCGTTGCGGAGCACAGGCTCCGGACGCGCAGGCCCAGTGGCCACGGCTCACGGGCCCAGCCTCTCCGCGGCATGTGGGATCTTCCCGGACCGGGGCACGAACCCGTGTCCCCTGCATCGGCAGGCAGACTCTCAACCACTGCGCCACCAGGGAAGCCCAATTCCCTCATGTTTTTGCCCATGAAGTCATCTCATAATTTCCTAAAACATAGTTTCAAGAGCTGCATTACAGGAAGACGTGTGTGCCTCTTTGTTTTTTTGTAAATAAAGCAAGCAAACAAAACCTGAGTTTTTTTCTAAATATTTTTTAAATAAGTGATTAATCTATAACTGAACATTAAGCAAGTCTTGAAATATTTTATTAAATTAAAATAGAAACTAGTGGCCCATAGAAAAAAATTCAAACAACTTACCTCAGTTTATCGTGCTTCTCTTATTCCCACCCATCCACATTGTCAACACAACTCTTCTTGTGAAGGGACCCTTCTCCTTCCCATACATACTCTGATTTCCCATATTGGGATTTCAGCTTAAGCTAATCCTTATGTTATCAGGAGTGTCTGAATTTATGTAAACCTCTAACCTTTCTTCCTGTCTCGAGTACGCAGGAACTGTGGTAGATGCAATTATTTCGTTTAACCTATGTTAAATTTTAAAAATTCTGGGGACTTCCCTGGTGGCACAGTGGTTAAGAATCCCAACTCAGCCAAAATAAGTAAGTAAATAAAAATTCTGCCTAGACATCCCAGGAAACCTTTCCGTGGCAACCCCCAAGAGTAACAGTTTATAAACAGACTAACATTTCTGTGCAGCTCTATTCGATTCACACCTGTGATTGGTTCCTTTTACCTCCTCCTGAGTTAGTTTCTCTCTTTCTTGTTGGTAATTTAATCCAATTCACATTCACATTTTGTATTCAATCTAAGTATTTCCGTAATGCCCATCACCATATGTAACAGCTCTCCTGCTGTTTGATAAATGAGGTTTATAAAGCAGAACATCTCAGAAGCCTCAATTCCCAGAGCTGTGGTTGCTGGTAACGCTGGTAGAAGTAACACTTTCAAGCAGCTTATCAGGTTGCTCTGGGGCATCTGAAGGATGCCATAGCTCTGTTACGTTAATCAGTTTTTGCCGTAAAGCAAACTAACTGAGCTGAAAGGAAACAGAAGAAATCCGGTAATGACTTCCTAACATTGCAATGCGTGCTTGCATGGGCATAACTCTGATACAAAAGGCAGAAGGTGCCATAGCAGATATTCAGATCTCAACACTGCGCTTGTTAGGGGCCCATCTCTTCCTCAGTAGGAATTGCAGGTGGGGGAGGGTTT